AGTTAAGGCACTTCACAACCCTGTAAGAGAGAGAAAAACAAGAGATATGATCACAACATACAAGATACTGAGGGGAACAGAAAGGGTGGACAAGGACAGCTTCATGAAACTGAGATAAAGTAGGACAAGAGGACCCAAGTTGAAGCAGGAAACACAAGTGAGTGGAAGGAATGTAGGGAAATACTCGTGTCTTGTACCGGCGGTCAACAAGAGGAATACCCTGAAAGAAGTCACCTCCCAGGGGAGCTGGTCGGCCGAGCGGACAGCACACACACGCGGGCGACAGCAACCAGTTAAAGAGTCCGGTCAGTAAACCAGCCCCACTCCTGTGCCAAGTCCCTACGGGATCACCATAGCCCGTGCTACTTGGAACGTTTGGTGGTTTTGGTGGTGTTGTTGGATGGAGAGGTTGTGGTGGTGATGGAGGGTGTTGTGGTGGTGGTGGTGGAGGATGTTGTGGTGGTGGTGATGACATCAAATGTCTCGACATCAGTTACAGGTGCAAGAAGCGGGGTGGAGATGCTAATAAAATAAAGAAAGAAGGAAAAAAAAGGCCAGAGACTGTGGAGTAGGAAGCAAGGAGAAGTGGCAGCAGCTGCTTAAGGGGGGGGTGAAGAGAGGGGTGCGACCGCCCCCTCACCCCCCTCTCCCCCCTCGTGTCAAATATCAGTGAAAACTTTCTAACAATTATCTCACGACAAGCTTGTCCAGCCCACGTCACGAAAGGAGAGGAAGAGCGAGATAGAGGAGCAATTACCTCTCAACAAAAAATATTGTCTCCATTAAAGGTGGCCATTAAAAGCCGTCCCCCCATTACTGCGTCCCTATTATCAGCCAGAGCGTGAGACACTGCACATACTAGGGGGGGGGGGACCTGCACTGTTGCATGGGAGAAGCAGTGGGCCTCACCATTATGAACTGGGAACAATATAGAGTCAATCATTACCATGGGTGACTGGCACTGTGGCATGGGAGAAGGGACAGTCTTGGCGACGATGAAGAAACATCTTGACAAAGAGAGACGTGGCAGCCCTCGTCACTGACGGCTGACACCTGGGGCCAGATTCACGAAGCAGTTACGCAAGCACTAACGAAAGTGTACATCTTTCCTCAATCTTTGACGGCTTTGTTTACAATTATTAAACAGTTAATGAGCTCTGAAGCACCAGGAGGCTGTTTATAACAATCACAACAGTTGATTGGCAAGTTTTCATGCCTGTAAACTGTTTAATAAATGTAAACAAAGCCGTCAAAGATTGAGGAAAGATGTACACGTTCGTAAGTACTTGCATAACTGCTTCGTGAATCTGGCTCCTGGCCTCTCTAACCATCCCTATGAATGGATTCAGGCACATAAATCATACTTAACACATCTTTTGAAATTCTGTAACAAGGTAAGATAAGATGCTCCCGGACGCAGGTTCGAATCCTCGCCACGGCCCTTGTGGATTTGTTCATTAAGGTAAAATAAGATAATTATCAGGAGAAAGCACTTAGCCATTACGACATTATAACACTTGGGAGGGATACGAGGATAAGGATTTGGGATAGGACTTAGGAAAGGAATGGTGCTTATAACCACTTGAACGATGAACCACAGGGATATGAGGAAACTTTTCGTGTGTACATTCATGTACATACATATGCCTCTATAGATACACACACACACACACACACACACATATATACTATATACAGTTAATAAATGGAATGCATTAGGCAGTAATGTGGTGGAGCCTGACTCCATACACAGTTTCAAATGTAGATATGATAGAGCCCAGTAGGCTCAGGAATCTGTACACCAGTTGATTGACAGTTGAGAGGCGGGACCAAAGAGCCAAAGCTCAACCCCCGCAAGCACAATTAGGTGAGTACTTAGACATATGTTACGAATTATTGGTGTGATATGTGGGGTCAAGTATTATGGAGAAGGGTCAGCAGTTAGCATCAGGAGGTATCACCATTATGGCAGATCATAAAGGCCCGGCCCCCTATAAAACATATAAGAACATAAGAACAAAGGTAACTGCAAAAGGCCTATTGGTCCATACGAGGCAGCTCCTATCTATAACCACCCAATCCCATTCATATACTTGTCCAACCCACGCTTGAAATAATCGAGGGACCCCACCTCCACCACGTTACGCGGCAATTGGTTCCACAAATCAACAACCCTGTTACTGAACCAGTATTTACCCAAGTCTTTCCTAAATCTAACAGTGTATATAACAGTGTTAACTAATTGGCTACAAGACAATGTCAGCCTAGAGGTAGATCATTGATTACCCTAATCTATCCCCTCCCCCCCCCCCACCCCCCTCGTCAAGCTACTAGCAAAATCAAGAGAAAGCAATACACGTAAGATAATTATCAAGGTTATCAAAACATAACCTTGGACTGTTGACCAAACCACACACTAGAAAGTGAAGGGACGACGACGTTTCGGTCACAATCGACTTGAGAATGGACCAGGACGGACCGAAACGTCGTCGTCCCTTCACTTTCTAGTGTGTGGTTTGGCCAACATACTTCAGGCACGTTATTGTGACTCCTCGTGTGCATAACCTTGGCCTCCAGATTACATCAATCTTGAGTGTTGTCTTCCATCAAGACACGACACAAGACTAGATGTCACTCTCACGCCTGGGTCTGCAGACGTCACTGCTTGAAACTAACTAACGCGAGGTGAAGGCCAAGTGTCGGTAAGAGGCTGCGAGAGTAATGCACGTCTTGACAGCGAAAGTAGCACAGGTGTTAATAAACAGTGATATTAATGCAGTCCTTGAAAGATTTCCTAGTAGTGAGTAGGGAGTATTGCTAGAGAACATCCAGGGAGCAGTAAATAGGTACCTGGGAGTTAGTCAGCTGCTACGGGCTGCTTCCTGGGGGGGGGGGGGGCTGTAACGAAAAGAAGGCCTGGTCGAAGACCGGGCCGCGGGGACACTAATCTCCGAAAGCTTAGGATCTTAGCGTCCCCGCGGTTCTTAGTTACCTTAGAACCTCAAGGTAACCTCAAGGTAATGACTCCAAGATGGGAGGACACTTACCTTCTTGAGCTGGGCGGTGGTGAGGGCAGTCAGGAGGAGCACCAGGGCCCCAAGTCTCGTCCCTCGCATCGTTCAACTGCAAAGGTAAAACAATTATCATTAGTCCCTGGGTGATGCAGTGGGGAACAGAGGGAGGGAGTTTTAGCGGGAAAAGCATCAAGCCATTACGACTATATAGCACTGGGAAGGGGTCAGAATAAGGATTTGGGATGGGACGGGGAGAAGGAATAGTGCCCAACCACTTGTGGACGGTCGGGGATTGAACGCCGACCTGCATGAAGCGAGACCATCACTCTACCGTCCAGCCCAAGTGGTTGGAGCGGGGAACAAAGGCGTTGGTGATTCCTGGCTCCAGCTCCCCCTCTCCTACAGCCCCATCTTGCTACATTTTCCCTGTAACACGACCCGGTAATTGACGGGGAGACATCTCCCGTCACGCAGGGTGCAGTTGCGCCTCCACAGATCTCCAGTATCATCTTTTGATACTGGTAATGGCTCGAAAGGGCCACCACTTACGGGCTATTCATGCCCGTGCCACCTCTTGGGTGGCTTAATCTTCATCAATCAATCAATCAATCAACCCGGTAATTTGAATTTAAATCCAGGTATTCAATTACTGCTGGGTGAACAGGGCAGACCTTTTACAGGTGGGTGCCCAATCGTTTTTTCATGCCCAGGGGGAGGCGTGCGGGTGTTCTCCCCTACACGACAGCAACCCCCTCTAACTAACTCTTTCCCTCATTCCCTCATTATAATTAAAAATACACAAAATTCATTTAATATGAACTAAGAAACTGAAAACTAAGCAAATTAAAGTATTTATCTGCACAAATATATTATAAACGTGTGTGTGTGTGTGTGTGTGTGTGTGTGTGTGTGTGTGTGTGTGTGTGTGTGTGTGTGTGTGTGTGTGTGTGTGTGTGTGTGTGTGTGACAAGCCTGAACGGTCTCCAGGCATATATGCAACTGAAAACTCACACCCCAGAAGTGACTCGAACCCACACTGCCAGAAGCAATGCCTCTGATGTACAGGATCCCTTAACCACTCGACCAACATGACCGGACAAAAGAGGATGGTAGCCGAGGCTAATTCCATATATACATACATACATACATATGTATATATGTAAATACACAGACGTAACGAATGTGAGAGTTCGTATGAGATCGTAACGTATCTGTTTATAACAACAACAACAACACTTGACTGTCAAGGGTTGATGCTCGTCGACTATTGAATCAATATAAACAAAGACGCCAAAGATTGCGACAAGATGTACAGGTTAGTAATGAGATACGTAAGATGCTTGCTGATTAATCCTGGGGGCCCTGGTGGCTACAGTGACCTCTTGTAATGCTGACTACAGTGACCTCTTGTAATGCTGGCTACAGTGACCTCTTGTAACCCAACTAGTGACTTACCCGCAGTAAGGTAGGCCTTTACGCCTGCTACAGGCTGGCTCTCATGTACGCACGCACGCTCCCTTACTCTCACTCAAGTTCAAGTATGTTTATTGAGATAAGCAAGAAATACATCTCAAAGGGATAGAGTAGCTTAGGCTATTTCTACCCCCCCTTACTCTCACTCACCCTCTCCCTGGAACCTAAACCCCCAACAGAAACACCTCTCCTCCCTCCCACACACACACACACACACACACACACACACACACACACACACACACACACACACACACACACACACACACACACACACACACACACACACACACACACACACACACACACACACACACACACACACACACACACACACACACACACAGGACGGACAATAAGCTACACTGACGAAGAATATACCTAATAAAGAAACATTCTTCTAAATAATTAATTCACATCATACTACGCACTTATCTAAGTATTGAACCACCGTCCAAGCAGGTCGCAAGCAAGTGACGTGGAACAAGTGTACGAAACTGAGGCAGAGCTGGAGAGTACTCGAGAGTGAGACTCTTTCCTACCTGAATAAATCCACAAGGGCCGTGACGAGGATTCGAACCTGCGTCCGGGAGCATCCCATCCCATCTTTCCTACCTACCAAGATAACTGTAGTCCATGAAGATGTGCATTTCAGTTCTCACGCGAGACCATTACCGGATAACTGTGGTCTTAAAATCAACCCAATCTAGCGACATATACCGCCTTTTAAATTATTAAACGAGTCGTGTGTGGACGGTTTAACCGGAGCAGAGCAGCGCTCTCTAGAGATTGTGTAACTAGAAGCCACTGCCAAATACCATTACAACATCACGATTTGGAATGTTCATCTTAATTTTAAAAAATAAATCATTAAAGTTATAATTAAAAGTAAGTTTGAGCATGATTTAAAAACAGTATCTGCCCGAAAAACGTTTTTTGCTTTCAAAACGTTTTTTGAAAAACATAAAAAAACGTTTTTGCCCGAAACGCTTTGCGTAATAGTGGCTTTAGGCATTGTATGTACTAGCTCTGTCTATAAATCCATCAACGTTTTGTATCTCACCTTGTATGTATGTACTTTACCTGAATAAATACAGACAAATTTACTGGCGACCCTAATTAAAACATATACCAGGAATAATACAGACAAATACAATTGTATTTGTATTGTATTATATATATATATATAGACAATTGTATTTGTCTGTATTATTTGTCTACTATTCCTGGTATATGTTTTAATTAGGGTCGCCAGTAAATAAGGCAGTGTTAAAGTTGTTGAACCTCTTTAACCCATAGTCTAAATTATATTCTCATTACCTTTGATCTCAGAGTACGCAAAAATCGTCTTTGGAACTTGAGGTTTAACTCGGATACTTCTTCCTGTTCCAAGTTTATGTATTGTTGCGTGGAGAATTTTGCTTTTTCAATTATCTAATCTGAATAGAAGAAAGCTTCAAACGGAGATTTCCATTATGCTTCTAATTTAATAGCTGCAAGTTAAATGACAAATCATCTGAAGAATTCTCCCTCCAAGCCACACCTGAAGAATTATCCCTCCAAGCCACACCTGAAGAATTATCCCTCCAAGCCACACCTGAAGAATTCTCCCTCCAAGCCACACCTGAAGAATTCGCCCTCCAAGCCACACCTGAAGAATTCTCCCTCCAAGCCACACCTGAAGAATTCTCCCTCCAAGCCACACCTGAAGAATTCGCCCCCCCCCCTACCTTCCCTTTGGAGAGGCCTGGACTAAGAAATTCCCCTTTCCTGAGAGTTCAGCTATGGAATCTTCCCCTCCCCCACCCCAGCCCACACCACCTGAAGTATCTCCTCCCCTCCCCCCCACCTCCAGGCGCTTCCTGGTGGAGGTTGACGAATATCAGGTTATCTCAAGCAATAATGAACTATGCCTTAACAGCAGGTGGAATGTCATTTAAATTCATCTAACGCCATTAAAACATCAAGTCCGACGTCTTGAAGGAGAACAGCGAGGTTCTGCGATAAAGTCCATCACATTAAAATCTCTCTCTCACAGCCAAACACCCAAAGGTAAGCTAAAGTATTCAGCAACACAAGTTATCGCTCCAAAATGCTGATCTCCGCCTCTGACAGGACACAAAGTCCTTGGTACTCGTCAAGCACTCTTTACTATTCCTTGAGAAGTCTTATTGACATCAACAGGCGATACGGATCCATTAAGGACTCTCGAGAGATGATTAATAAACAATTTAACCGATCACATTCCTTAAACGCTAAACAAAACATTAACTTAAAACATACCACGGCCAGGCTAACATTAGACTGTTGACCCGTTACATGGCGGGGAGGGGGTGAGGGAGGGGAAGATGGGGGTGAGGGAGGGAAGGGGGGGGGTGATGGGGAGGGATGGGATCTGTGTAGCACGTCAGAAGAGGTCATAGCACTAGCCTGCTGGACCAGTGTTAATATTCTGGCCTCGTCTCTCCCACTACCTGAACCTCTCTGCCTTGCCTGACGAGAACTGCGACGTGTCGAGAGTTTAGCGGGCATATTGGCAGCCAACACATTTATAATAATTTACAAATATGGCTAAGTTTTTGAGCATTGTTTATATTGGTCAGGCGAGGAGGTGTGGCAGGAATACCATGTATAGTTCCTTCTGAGAGAGAGAGAGAGAGAGAGAGAGAGAGAGAGAGAGAGAGAGAGAGAGAGAGAGAGAGAGAGAGAGAGAGAGAGAGAGAGAGAGAGAGAGAGAGAGAGAGAGAGAGAGAGAGAGAGAGAGAGAGAGAGAGAGGAGAGGAGAGAGGAGAGAGGAGAGAGGAGGAGGAGAGAGGAGAGGAGAGAGAGAGAGAGAGAGAGAGAGAGAGAGAGAGAGAGAGAGAGAGAGAGAGAGAGAGAGAGAGAGAGAGAGAGAGAGAGAGAGAGAGAGAGAGAGAGAGAGAGAGAGAGAGAGAGAGAGAGAGAGAGAGAGAGAGAGAGAGAAGAGGAAGAGCCTTTCATCGGAGAGCCTTGTAAAAGACACGCTCAGAGGATAAGAACATAAGAACAAAGGTAACTGCAGAAGGCCTATTGGCCCATACGAGGCAGCTCCTATCTATAACCACCCAATCCCACTCATATACTTGTCCAACCCGCGCTTGAAACAATCGAGGGACCCCACCTCCACCACGTTACGCGGTAATTGGTTCCACAAATCAACAACCCTGTTACTGAACCAGTATTTACCCAAGTCTTTCCTAAATCTGCAAAGGGTATGCTTTGACAGAGCAATTCTGCAGGACCATGTGCAGTTTATTCTGAATGGCGACTGAATACTCCTTCAGAGAGTTAGCCCCGAAGGTGAGGTATGAAACCTCTGGTCCAGGTCCTGCCTTAATACGCGATGAGTAAAGCGCTCCTAAAGACACCTTCCAGAGGGCTGAGACTGGAACACCCAACAGCTATGGAGCCCGGCTGTACTTTTGGTCCAGCCCGAAAAAACTGGATATCGATATAACGGTTCAGATATTTTTTTATTTTTTTTCCTGCAGGCAAATGTTTCAACGGAGACGGCGCTGGCAGCGCCAGAGAGCACTATAATAATTACAATTCGCCGCAAATGGGCTATTTTGTATTTCTTAGGGCCATGTTCGAATCTTGAGAGTTATATGATCT